TTTTATAATGAATTTTTTGTTTTTTTTACTTGTCTCACTTTACTATAAAATATTTACATATGTAATTCGTTAGCGCTACAAATACATTTTTGGACTAAATACTCAATTCTGTACTCGACTGATGACCTGTTGCACTAAGCTGTAATCGCTTTGAGTACTGCTATAGCATATTTTAAAGTTTGCGTGCTTTTAAGTTTTTACTGCGTGTCGTTTACGTGACTAAATATTATTTTGTACTATAAATTAAGCGGTCGGCGATTTCATTTTGATTTTTCACTAACTTTTTGGTATTTCGTACATTTTTCGATTTTTTTTTCTCTGTGAATGGGGTATATTACTTCCATTATTTTTGTTGTTTTAAAGCTTGCTTAACTGCTCAATGCTCCACGGAGACATAGAATTTCGAATTGGATTTGCTGTTACGCGGATAAGAGCCACCACCATTACCATCAGAATTGTAGGTCCACTGGGCCAGAAAATTCATGAAACGCTGCGATATTTCGAATTTTATGTACAAGAAGGGATGATTTTTGGTGATTTTTTCAATAGTTTATTTAATTTTTTGATTTGTCATTTTTTTTTAGGAATTTCGTTAAGTTATTAATTATTTAACATAAATATATCAATATTTTTAAATGTTTTTATATACGTTTTTTTATTTATATTTTGTTGTTGATTAAATTCAAAATTTGTATAAAAACACATTGGCAAACATTTAAAGTTTATTTTTCGTTTTATTAATTTTTAATATTTTAATGTTATTTAATTTGAAATAAAATTTTTAGTTTTTTTTTTAATTTTCAATTTTATTTTTGTTTACGTATTTTTTCATTTCATTTAATATTTATTTTTTCATTTTTGTTAATTGTAAATTTTTATTTTAGATAATGTAATTTATTTGATATTGCATTCAATTAAATTTTTTGTAATTAATTTTAATGACATTTTATTTAATATTTTAGTAGATTTTTTGTTTGTTTTATTTTATTTTATTTTATTTTATTTTACATTGTTTTCAATATAAATACATATGTAAGTATATTATTATTTTTAATTTTATTTGATTTGATTTTATTATTTTAATAATTGTTTTATAACACATATTTTTTTTGTAATTTTATTTTGTTTTATTTAAGATTTTTATTTAAGTTTATTTTATACCGTTTGATTATATCATTTGTTTTATTTTATTTTGTTTTTAGTTTGTAAATTAATTAATTTAATTTTATATCATAATTTATTTTTAATTTAATTTAATTCAATAATAGTAATTATTAATTTAATTTTTAAAGTAATTTAATTTTGTATTGCAATTAATTATGTTTTTTTTTTTGATTTTGTTTTATTAAAATTTTTCAGTATTTTTTGGTTTTTTCATTTATGATTTTTTTTATGTGCGAGTGTAAATTAAAATTTAGTTGTATTTTTTGGAATAAATTTGTTTTATTAAAAAATTACATTTTATTTTAAATATTTTTTTTTTTATTGTGTCGATATTTGTTACAATATTTAAGTATCAAGCAATATTTTGGAGTTTATTTATGTTTTTATAAATTTTTTTTTAAATTATTTTGAAAAAAAATGAATAAATATTTTTTCAAAATAGAGTTTTTGTCCATATTTTCATTTGTTATTAATTTTTAATTGAGTTTATAAATATCATAATATTTTAACAAATTTTATTCCGCATATTTTATTTATATTTAATTCGATTTTTTTTATAGTTTCGATATTTTTGCACAAAATTCATGTTTTTACATTTGTATAATTTGTACAGGGTGGCATTATTTGCAATTGCAGTTGAGGGGATATTGGAATACAATTTTAAGACAAAGTGTTTTGTGCATGAAAGTAAAAAAGAGAACCCAAAAAAATTAAATAAGACAAATAATATAAAACATATAGTAGAAGAAACTATGCAACATGATGGATGAATACGCAAAAAAGTAACAAATTTAATTAAAGCAAACAAAACGAAAAGCGAAAAGAAAAATAAAAGTTAAAATAAAATATGACCAATATAAAAGCAAGTAAAACTATTTATAAATAAATAATAAGGTATATTTGTAATAATAAGTTTGATAAAAAGAAGAAAACATAAATTACAGAACAAAAACCGAGACCACAACAAAATAATAATCAATAAAAAAATATAAAACTAAAATTAATTTGTTTTACGATAAAAGAAAAAAATTAACTTCATCCCTTCCATAAATGTATTTGCAAGTTACTAAATTTTCTTCAATAAATATTAATATAATAATTTACATGTAGATACTTTTCGCATATCTATTCCGCCCATTCAGCAGAAACAATTCTAACTTACCGGCGCGCTGTTGTCTTCGATGATCGACATTTCATCCTCACTATTCGAGTAATCCGAGCTCCAGCCGCATGCCTCTTGCTGCTCTTTGTCACCACCAACACCACTAGCGCTATTGCCATGCGCATGCCCATTGCCTGTCACCGTCGAGAGTGGTGGTGGCATGCCGTGCGGGTAGACATCATCGCCACTGCTGCTGCAATTCGAATTGCGATTCGAAGACTCGGAGGATGCATCACAGCTCACAGCGCGTTGTGGCATGCCCAACAGAATATTTGGCGTATCCCATGAGGTTGTCTGCCGCAGGCCATGATGATTCATGCCATACTGTTTGATCTTTTCGCCTTTCAGCTCTTCCAATTGATTGAGCAGCAGTCGCTTGATTTCAGTGACCCATTTATTTTTCACCTCCTCGGTGGGCGCCTGCAGTGTATGCACTTCTTGGCGTCCCTGTAGCCAGACTTCGAAGCGCGTTGAATCGCCGCGTACCGATTCGGTGAGGCCGATTTGTGACAACTGTGCAGAGGTAGGAGAAAGGAGTGCTCGTGAGTAGGCTTCCAAATTTGCGTTACATCGTTTTGCTTACCTTCAACTGATGCTTAAACTGATAGGTGCTTTTGTTGTGTCCAGGCTTCGAGGTTTTCTTACAGAAAATCATAGATTTGTGGTAAAGGAAAATATGTCGCTGCTGCGGTTTTTTGCGCAGTCGCAAATCCTTCTTTGACTCCGTCCACACCTGGAAGGGATCCTGCAGCAGTAGTTCGCCTTGTTGCGAAAGATTGCTCTGTGCGATAAAAGAGAATATGAACGAATGTGAATAGAGTACCTCTTCCTGTTACATACCGGAAATCCCGTTATAGCCACTTGATGCATCGAATCGTTCACACAACGCAACACGATTAGCATACAATCTAAAGCTTTTTGTAATTCTTTGGTACAGCTGCCGCTATCGCTGGACCCCAGCAGATTTTCGAGCAGCAATTTGTACTTGGTAATGCGTTGCACTGGCTTCAGCAGATATGCGCCCAATGGTAGCTTGTGACCCAAACGCTTTTGGCATTCTTGCAGGAAGAGATGTGTATCGACGAGCGTTTCACGCAGCCGATCGGAGCGTGGTATATTTTGGCAGTAGAAGGAGTATAAACGATAGAAGGTGTCGCGCTGAAAAAGGATAAGTGTTATTTGAAAGTTTATTGGAATAAAGCAAGAATGTCCCCAGAACTTAGTTTACTAAAGTACTCAAACTGCTGTAAAATTATATTTCTGAAACCCCGTAGTCTATCGACTAAATCATCCCAACTGGTTTTCCTTCTATACACAGAAGTCATGGCGAGCGGTTCTAAGAGTAGCAAATATGGGTGTACGAAATTATTAGTATAGTAGTGGTAATCGGATTAGGCATCTCGAACGGAGCCGTTGGTAAACACAGACAAAACGGACACTATACTTTTCACAAAAAGGTCCAAGGTCTAGGTAGGCAGAAAGCCGATCACGTCTTCTAGGCAAGTAAAAGGATCCCGGGCGATACTAGAGGTGTTTCGTATACCCTGACAATACATGGCAATATTGAAGCCGATACTACTTGGAGAAGCGCTAAGATCCGCACTCAGTCTGCCGTCCAACGACCTTTATACATGTAGAGGAACTTGTTTTTAAATCCGCAGGTAAATTGGACGGCGATTAAGGAATTTAACTTAGAGCATACGGGCATAGCTCAATTGAAGAAAGCAGCGGAGGTAACACGAACTATGTGACACCTTATTTGAATTGAGAAAGTGTCGGACAACAAGTGAGGAAGAGGGACAGCGAAAGGATAGAAACCTAGTCGCAGATCCGCCAATACATTCACAGAGTTTTGGTTCTAAAATCGTAAATGTAGTGGGTGCTGAGATTACTGCTTGATCAGTGTCGTGCAGGTGCCCATAGGCTACTTTACCGGTCATAGTTAATCTACTCCGACTACGTTTCTAACTGTCTATCGAGACGCCTAAAAATATCTTTAACCGCTTCTAGTGGTAATGGATTCTAGAAGGCGTTGCTATAGAGTCTTATTAATATTTCACTTTCTTCAATTCTTCCTGGCAGAGTAGAATGAGAATTCATATACGTACGCTAATGTGTAATGTTGACTGCAAGTTCTTGATATGCCCAAGCTGAGGTAATGCCTTCCAGAAGGAAGAATGTAAGCAGTTACGCACAAACTTTGTGATTCAAACTTTATTTTAGAGGCAACCGTGGTTCTTTCCGAGACAGTAGCGACTATATATGTATGGCTCGATATGACCTCTAAACAAATTTATCGAATGTCTTAGACACGAGCGGGGATCTTAGATAGTTTCGATCTCTCCATAACTCTTTGCCCTGAATTTACTATGCATTCAATATCTGCCAAATAGTTTCCGTCTATATTTTCGGACCAAAAAATCAAAATGAGGTGAAGTCGGTTGTTTCTAAGGCCTCTTATTGAGAAATCGCCATCGAGGCAGCACAGTTTTTGAACAAAAAGACGCACTTTTCACCCTAAAACGAAATCGGATCTTCCAGTTTAAACGCCAACCATACTTTGGCTGCTCGTGCCGCTCGTGTTTAATTTGCTACCAGCAAGGTCGGTGAAAGGAAATTTTCATATTCAGGAGTGTTTCAGGGCGTCAGGGCCACTCAGATCGTATACCTTCAAATAACCATTTTCTAGCACAATCCACGCACGCTTACTTACCCTTTGCACAAAACACAGCGCCACCAATTCTGTCGTAGATATACAATTTTCCAGATCTTTCAGAAAGATCTCATTGTGAAATGTATACAATTCGTGTAAATTGCCGAATAAAATATCCTCTTTACCTTGCAGACTGGCGGGTACAAGATGCATCATTTCTTCAGATAGCATTTGATCACGATAGCCCTAGAAATATATAGAAAATGCAGGAAGTTAGCAATTACTGCATACGGATATTAAACAAATAAGAAAATTATTTTTATTTTATTTTATTATTTTTTAAATAAAACTAAATATTTTTTAGCCCCTCTCTATTTTTCAAAAAAAAATATACTTTACCACATTTCCATGCAACTTTGCAGTACTGCGCTTTGCTTCTTTCATTCTCCCAAACTCGGTGCCAAAAAATTTCCCATATTTTGTTTCTATATATTGGTCTACTGTCGAGTAGCCTTGTGCCGTGACAAACTCTCGCAAAACCCGCTCGTAATTTGCTTGTTTGAATTTCGCGCTCGTATTGAATTTCGGCAAATTAAACCCAGACTTAGCGCGGAAACTTTCCTCGAAAAATTCCTGACAAAATTTCAACACCTCGCTATAGGAATTTGAAAAAAAGTTCTTCCCCTCAGCAGATTCCGCGTCCTCTGGAGTTGTGGTGGTGGTTTCGTTGGTGAGATTATTTGATGTGGTGGTTGTGGTCGGACCACGCGAGGAGGACCACTTAAGCGCCTCATTGCAATCAACGCTGGTGCGGCAAGAGTTGCACAGTTGTCCTTTGAATTTCCACGTATCGCTCGCTGTGAATTGCAGTGATTTGGGCGTGGCCAGCACTTTGGCATGGCTCAGTGTGTGCTTGCTCAGCGCCGATTGAGCGCGCGCTACCGACGACGAGATAGACGTGAGACTTTTCGGCTGCACATCGTCTAGATAGTCCAGGATGTCGTTGTAGTTCTTGCGCTGCAGGTATTCTTTGAACTCGGAATCGTTTTCGATTTCCGAGTAGGTATTGTACTCCAAATAGTCCTTGACTAGCCGGTACTCAAGCGATTCGTCGCAGCTAGAGAGTTCGATGAGCTCCTTGAATATCGTCTTGCGATCGTTCTTCAAGCGCTCCAAGCTATTCGAGACAGTTCTGCTATCGCTAATGTTCTGGTGTGCTTCGAGTTCCTTGAAAGTATTAAAGATCTTGACAGTCGATTTGCCGTTCAGGAGATTATGCGCCGAAAAATTACACAAATTCGTGCCGAAAATGTAGTTTGGTAGGGAGTTATTGCTGCTCTGACTTTCGTCTGTGGAGCGATTGTAATTTGTACGCGATTCTGTTGGTTTATAATGTATGCTGTAGGTAGTAGTTGAGGGCGTGGCGCGATAACTACCAGCACTGCAGTGCTGCTCGAAGAGTGAACCACGAAAGGACACTGGCGACTCGCAGTAGTGCGAACGTTGTAGGTGCAAGCGTTTCAGTGAATCGGTTATTTTCAAATTGAAGCGACCAACTATGTTGCAGGCGGTATTGTGAACTTTCTTCAGACGCAGGGAACCATGCGATGAGGGCGATTTGGATTTCGATGCCTTACGTAAATCGTAACCGCCGTAACGCATATTTTTGGCGGTACACAAGCGAGTTCAATATTTGAATTCAACTAGTAATTGCAAGGACGAGGAAGGCAGCAAAACACAAAAGCTTTATAAGTCCAACTCGAAAAAAAAAATGTATTTATCGACTGCTTAGCGCGGCTGGTAAACGCGAAATGAAATGAGGCTCGCATCTAAAACTCTTAGATCTCAATGCTATGTCTAATTTTTAAGTACATAACTGTAGCTTTTGCATCGAATGAATTCTACTTTTGCAACTTGTCCGTCCGTGCCAAGTAGAAAATTATGCTCATATTTTAATGCACTAATTACAATCAAAGGCATTCAACTGTTGCAGAAACTGTTAACTGAAGCAAACGCCAATAAAGCCAAAAGAAGAGATTTTAAAAAAATATTTACAACTAAAAATTTTTGCAGCTGTTTAGAGCAGGCGTTTAAGTACATATATGCCGTTATAAATGTTTTTATTCTTTTCCGCCTGCGTGCTAATTAATGTGTGGTTCATTAAGACCACATAATGGTGTTCATATTATTGAAGTATGTAGGTGTTGACCAACATGCTTTGTGGTGAGTGCATTTTGGCCATGGTTATTGACTAATTGATTGCAGATTGCATGTTTCATGGTCATGGCTATGATTTTCTGCAGTTTGCGAGTATTATGATAACCGCACATAATCTTTATCTAACATAATCTGTTATAATCCTCCCAGACATGATTAAATGTACAAATGTATGTGTGTGCATTAGGGTGGTTCTTAAAATATCAACATCGTGCGACGTCCTTTTATTTTGTTCTACGTACAAGGCAAAATCACAAACGAAAACTTCAAAAAAAAATGAATAAGTTTATATAACATGTACATTAGGGCAGAGCAATTTAATTTCGAAAAAAGTGTATGGCATATTCAAGTTCTACGTTCGATTCTAAGCAAAAATGGTGAACAAGATATACATATACCAAAAATGACGGTTGACCCTCCTAGTTTTTAAAAGAAAAATCAGTGTATTAAAAATTTTTTTCTGAACGAAATTCATTTTTAACTGACTTCAAAAAAAAGGAGGAGGTGATCAATTCATCGGAATATCTTTTTTATATTTTTTTATGTATGTTACCGCATCACTTTTGACCACGTTAACCTATTTCTTAATTTTTTTGTAAAGGAAATATGACACCTCAGAGGTGGACCCATACTAATTTGGTTTAGATTCGATCATTGGATCATAGAGAAATTAACGGTACTTTTAAATTTTTATTTTTATTTTTTTATTTTTTGCTTAAAAATTACTTGTTCATTTACAAAATTTTGTGTTTTCTTCATACAATATACTGATATTTCTTTTGAC